AATAACTTTTCATTCATTTTAGGTGACCAGAGTTCTATAGGCGTTTACAATCAGTTTGGGTATGAGATATACAGAATAGAAAGATTAGGGAAATAAGAAGCTGACGCTAAACCAAATGGACAGCAGCCAAGGACTGCAGAAGCAATACATGAACACCTGTATTCCAAGCCCTGTTTAGACCATGCATCAATAACAGAGCCAGTTGAGGCAGCAGAGCTAACTGGGGCTGGTGCCAAATGGATGCCAGAGTAAGCAGAAAAGTTAGAAACTGAGTGAAAATTGCAGAAAGAGGGTATGAGTGGAATGGCATGACTGAACCTATAATGGAACAGAGTGAACTAGAGAAGGATACATTCTGTAGATCAGAGATGTCCTATAGATGTAATAAGTACCAAAGAGCACCCCAAGGAAAGTTCCTGTGGTCCAGAAACACCTTGATTAAATGTTAAAATTTATGGATCGAGTATTGGATGTTAATGTTATGGATATTGTATTACCCAATAACTTTCCAATAGTCATTTATTTTAAATATCTGATCATTCTCTCTAAAAATAAAGTGTAATATTATTTTTCAAATACAACAAACTGATTTATCTTAATTGAAACAATTGGAAACTATTGGGAAAAAAAGAATTCTCTAAATTTATCTGGAAGTAGAAGAGGCCCAAACAAGCTTTTCACGTTACAATGAGCAAAACCTAATGATAATCTTGTTTTAGAGTACCTAATTTTAAATATATTTTTGTCATTTGTACATACTGTAGGACAGCCAGGGTATTCCTGAATTCTGACAATTGAGTTTCATGGCACCAGTTTGAATCAAATTACAAAGCTCCACACTGGTTAGATTTTTAATATTTTTTCTCGCCTATCTATAAAATAAAGCAACCTAAGACATGGCATGGCCCAGTCATCTGCCACTTAATAGAGACATGCCAGTTGGAGCAGATCTATTAAGCTAAAACGTAAGTGGTTTTTACAGTTCCCTGTCTTTAACAATGTTTATCCTTTAACTGATACAGTGGTTGCCCATTTGTTTCTCCACAATAGTCTACACATGGAATACATAACATTGCATGTGTATCAGGTGGTGGAGACCTACCGCATTACAGAACTCACAGGAACTGCACTTAAATTACATTTCAAGTTATTCCCTTTCTCTGTATCTCTGACTGAGAGCTGCTACACTTGCCTGTGGGGTTCCCTGGGGTACAGCACTTGATTTCCATTTACCATGTACACTAAGATATTATACAGAAACAATTCATCCAGTGCACATTCTTGTCTTTATGCATTTCTATCACAACATTCTCAGGTTATTTTGATATCATTTTGGTATAGAAATCTGTCGTCGACGATTTGGTGTCGACACATTTGGAACCATGTGACGTATGCCTCCAAAATCCTGATCATAACATAATTTTTAATATAATTTATCAGACCTACTGTATTTCACCAGGTTTGGGAATGTTCCTAAGTCCACATGTTTTTAAAAATGATGTTTCTCTGTATCTGAGATACTGAAGAAGAATATTCCCTTTTCATCACAGCTACTTTTATTGCACTGTTTTATCTTTAAAATTATTTATCTTGTAAAAAAGGAGATACTTTAGTTAACGGGCACTATAGCTGCAAAGCATGGACATACTTCTGATGCTCTCCTTTGGGACTTTTAGTTTTTGAAAACCTTATTTATGTAACTTACAACCGCCCATATACAGTACACAGACAGATCAGAGCCATGTTTAATGTCTTAATTTAAGCATATTTTGTATATATTCCTTATCTGCATCATTGTTGCAGTCATACTGTAGGTTTTTCGATTATCTTTTTTTTAATTTTTGCTCTGTAGGTAAATGGGTGGGCATAGTAGAGGGGAGATTGGGGGAAGGGTGGAATGTTTTGTTCCGGTTTTTGATGATGTATTGTTTACAAAATAAATAATAAAAATATGTGTAAAAATTGATTCCTGTGTTGCATTCGTTTACCATGCCTAGAGGACAGGTATAGTTCATAGCAAATAATACATATATGGAAATATGGCAGGAAATGAGTAGCTGTGGTTGTGTTAGATTTTTTGAATGAGAAACTCATGAAAGGGTGAGTCATCTTAAAGCTTAATGGAAATCTAGAGCTTTGATGATCTGAAGCGCTACCAGATTGGGGGAAATCAGTTCTGGCTTGCATTCGAAGGGCTTAAAGTAGATGGATGAATAACTACAGCAGATCTTACACAGGGATTGGAAAGTGGCAGCAGCTGAACTGGTCAATCTGGTGCACTGGGGCTAGGGGAGGGAATTGGTTACTTGAAAGAGTGGACCTGAGATGTCAAGGATTAAATCCAATGCAAATTAAAGCATTTAGTAAATTGAGTTTTGAGTGCTGTCACATAGATGGAATTTGTAACCCAAAAGTCCTTGATTAAACTCAGCAGCAGGAAGACGGAAACAGGTTCAGGCAGAGGTTTTAGCATGTTGGTGAAAAGGAAGGGCCACAGGCCAGCAGCAAAACTAGAAGCAAGATTTCCTTAATTTTAGGGAGCTGTAAAAAGTGATGTGTCTGGCACAGTGATGTTAGTATGACAGTGATGTTAGCATGTGGTGATGAGAAATGAAGGCGGACTCCAACGGCAGGGATCACTTGATAAATGGAAGGTTTGCAGTATAGTGGCAAAACCTGACAGCAGGTTCAGTGACATCTCAGCAGGTACAGTACCATGAAAGTAACAATTAGGTAGAAATCAGAAAGCACCAGAGGCAAGTAAAGGAGGAATTAGCGCAATGAATACTGAAACAGACTGTCTTTTGTCCAGATTTTCATTATAATTTCCAAATTGAAAGGTAACAATTTTGTTTTGTTGAAATATTAATTCCTTGTGACTGAGAAATTTCATTTATGACACATACAGCCAAAAGAAAGTCTATCCATTCTCAGGCATGATTGTGTGTAGGGTACAGTACGTTCATACTGACAGATGTCAGCAATATCAGCCTCAGTGTGCAGCAGTCAAGGTGGAGCATTGGGAGACACTGCTGTTTTAAGAAGCCTGATGGCATGTGATTAAAATCAACGCTTCCATCACTTCATTGTCTTAAAAAGTCACAAAAAATTAAACATTTTAAATTAATGCTTAAATTAAGTAACATTTCTGAGGCGCTAAAAAGCAAATGAAAACAAAGTGAACTGAGTCTATGTCTGAGCTTGTTCATAACCTTAAAATCTGTTCCAAAAGTTGGATGAAGAAAAATAAGTATCAAAACATAATTTACAGATTTTGACTATTGCTACCCCCTGGCATTTTGATCCTTTGGCAAAAGTGCAAAAAGTGAACATATGCACTTTTTGCACTTTTGCCATGATGTGTACTGGGCTATTTTTCAGGTCTAGATTCTATTGTTACACACTAATATTTGAAAGATTTCACTCTAGGAATATGACCCTGTATTTCAGTTGTGTGATGATATAGTCAAAAGTGAAATGAATACTGAAGGATATTCACAAATAAACCCCAGAGGGTTTAAAAAAATGTTTGTAAAAGGATCTGTCACATTCAAAAATATTTGTATGTGTATAGTGTACTGCATGTGCATAAACTGTATGCTCAATGTCATAAAAAGTGCATCCTCGTTGGCAGCAGACAGAGCTCAAACTCAAATTGCCTGAGCAACTCAATCCATATATACAGTATATACAGCAGTGAAGTGCACAAGATTTGAAAAGACATGATGTGTATTTATGAATATTAAGAACTTTGTTTCTTAATTAAATAAAAGTAATTTAGGGATAAATTGTAATGCCAAATTCAAATGGAAAAAACTGTCACGAACAGTTCTTTCCGGGCCCTATGCAGACGACACAATCCGGATTAGTGAGGAAACACTGGGGAAAAAGCCATGCAGGAGAGGGTCTGGAGACAGGGGGCGTGTCCAGGGGGTGCAGGTGTCCAGGGGTAGTGATTCCGGGGTGAACAATCCATGTAAAAGTCCAAACGGGTAATCCAAAGAAGTGAGAGTCCATAGCCAGGCGAGGTCTGCTGATCTTTGGAAATGAATGATATTGTATCATTAAGCTAAATGGTAAAAACATGTCTAAGTTTCCAACTTCATTTGTTCCTACATAATGTATTGGTAGAGTAAGCCCAATACCATGTACTCAGACAGAGGTGTCAAATGAATCTAGTCATTAGTTTCCTATGATTATATTATTTTTATTGGAGGGGCATGCGCTGTGAAAATTGGGTGCTTTATTCTTGTTCAGAGTGGCCTGGGTGGGTATATAGGAAATATGAGATGCCCTACACTTAGACTGCTCTGGTGGTGAGTTAGAGCTGCTTAAGAAGTAAAGGTGGAACTCTAGTGGAGTTTTTTCCTCCTTCTGCAGTTTCTTAGAACTTTTGTTTGATCAATAGTAAACATACTGAGGCACTTACGTGCAACACAGAGCCTGTGGTGTGTAGATGATAAATGATTAAAAGACGTATTTTACTGTATTTACAAAATAATTCATCATGTTATTGTCTTTCTTCCTGGTCTTGTGTATCTATCATATAACAAGTGAAAAGGATTTAATTTCTTCAATCTGGAACAAAAGAGAATGAGCAGAAATATGATCCAGTTATAGAGTATAGAACCTTCAAGTATTAGAATGAGGGTATGAAACAAGGACATGGGGTAAGAACTGGAAAATGAAACAAAAGTCACTAAAGACACAGAATGATGTTCTTAATTTGTAACTCAAAATGAAGAGGGCAATGAAAACACGTTTCTGTTTTTTTTTTTAAGATTATTTGAAGGTTGTTTCCAACATTTGTTTAGAAGGTTGATGAAATCACATTAATTGAATATATTGAAGTATTACCAAACCGTGAAAAGATATACACAGTAGCTGGAACAGATGGTTTACTGGTGCTGAGAAATCTGAATTAGGTATGCTCTTTAAAACTCCACTACATATTTGTTCAGAGTAAAAATAATGACAAACAACTGGAAACTTAATGGATATTAAATTATTTTAATATTAGCAAAACCGCAAAGAAAAGGGTCAGGAGCCAGTATTGAATTCAAACCTTCTGTATACAGGCATTTATAGGCTGGACAGTGGCACATGCACCCTCCCTTGTGGCAAATCAGCCTCAGAAAGAAGAGCTCTAATAGAGTCTAAGTCAGTGTAGCCAGAGAGTACACATATTGATTGCAAAGAGCTGAGATCTTAGGCAAAATAAGTGGCGAAGACAGAAATGAGAAACTCCGTTTCAATAAATCTGCCTGGAGCTTAGCTCCTATTGCTTAGAGGCACGTTACTGATTCACCTACCAAATTCCACAGCATGTGTTTTTCCCAGTGAAACAGACAAAATTATAATCTTCACAAGGGTTATTTTTAAAAGCTCTTTTTGGGTCTTGCAAAATGATGTGCTTTTCTATATGTGTAGAATTGATGTCACTCAGAGGCCTCACTCTAGAAGGAGTCTGTGCAGCTCTTTAGCAGTGGTGGCAGGTAGGGAGCATGTGAAGTTCTTGCAGACGTAAGCGGTGGCTTTTCCTCCCTGGGGCGCCATTGTGGAGAGGACAGGCAGCCGCTGGTAAAGGAAGTTGTCAGCATTGCCATCTGCCATCAGCAAAACCTACAGAAAGAGACAAATTGTGTTGGATGGAAGAGATTAATATTAAATTACAAGTATCATCTGGAGTAACTGTTAAATGTAAAGAGTACAAACAACATTGTATTGTAGTGTGTACTTTAAATATATTTTTGCAAAACAACTAAACGAATTGAGGGTAATTTAGTTACGCAATATCTGTTGTTGTTGTTTTTTTTGTGTTCATAGCACAGTGTGTGCTCACGGACCTTCTCTACTGTCTTAGACCAGCAGAATGACTTTTTAGTCCTGAGAAGATCTTACAATGAATGAACGTTTAACAGGGCAAATGTTTTTTAAATGTCTGATGCTGTGCTGAGTGGCTCTGTTGCAGTTGTGACCTTTAAGTCCTTATGTTATACTCATTTGATTAAGAGTGCCATTAGAGCTGCTCAAACAGTAAACTTAAATGGCAGGTACCTAGAAAACTGTTTATTTTAAGAGTAAGCTTTCTCACTTGCAGTGAGAAACTATAAAATGACTCTGATATGGGCAAGTTCAAAGTAATAGTTTGCAAAATCCTCACCCCTCCACTGGTAATACAAGTGCCCAAATAAATGATTAATGATTAAATAAACTAAAAAAACATTTGGGGTGGGGGGGAACCCTGCCATTTACGGCATTTTCGGATGATTATAGTGCACCAGGAATGCTGTGCAAGTGGCCCTAATGAAAGGTTATAGACTATGTTTCTGTGGTCTTACTATGCTTGCAACAAATGTTTACTGTCTTCAGCCATGGTTCCCCTCATTTTGTGTTCTAGTTTATTTCTTCCCAGTGCTCCTCCTCTTTTGACTAAGTTGGTGGTTAAATATACCTGCCATAAAAACATGCTAACAGTTACATACTTTAGCTTCTGTTCACGGCTCCTTCTCTGTGCCATTATTGCAGTACCTAATCAAACAATTAATGTTATAAAGTTACTTAACATCTTTTTATCAGTCATGTTTAATTACGATCTGAATTCAGAAGTGTCTTCCAACATTTTCAGCACAATGTCTCCTGGGACAACAAAACTGAAATGACAACTCCAATTGAATTTGATATATCTGCACAACGTGAACAGCAATGCTTGTATTCTCTCCTTTATCTCCCTGCCAATCAATGAGTTAGATTTACCAGCCAGAATATGATACTGTACTGTAATGTCTGTAATTCAACTAGCCTTTTGTTTTTTAACCTCCAAAATCAAAAACCAAATGATGAAACTTTTACAGTTGCACAACAAGACAGCTACCCACGTTTCAGAGTCATCCTACTATTGCAAACCCATATATTTGATCCATTTTGTTGAACCTCTCTATTGTTGTGCCCCCTCTCTACATCCTGTCACATTCAAATCATGCTGCTTTGAATTTCCATGGCAGTGCTTTTTGGAGCTCTCTCCATGGAGATTAAATGAGTTCTCTGCTCTGACTGAAGGCTATGATCATTCTCTGCTTAGCAAGGCTCAGGCTAAGTGAGGATGATGTTTTTTTATTGTTATGCAGATGGAGAACTGCAGAGCAGCGTCTATGCTGTTATTCAGGCTATTTGCCCTAGTACAGTTATACCTTTTCAATTTTCTTCCAAGAAGAGTCGGCTGCCAATATCACTTAAAATTCCCAAACTGAAAATGAAGCCCCAGGATTTGCCAAAGAATGGGGCAGTTCATTGTGTGCATTCACTGTGGATACCAGTTTTATTAACAATGCACTGTACAGTACTGACTGCTCGTTTTAATGTTTTAGATACTGTATGTACAGTACAAACAATGTTCAAGACAAAAGGTAAACACATTTATCTTTCCTTCATTTTCTGAGTTATGATTATTTAGAAAGTCTTATTTCAAGGGTTGAGGTCAGGATAAGAAGGTCTTGTGTTTTGTTTCAATTTACATTTTTTAACTTTTGTTACAAAATGTTACTTTATGTTTATGTGCTCATTTAATTTTGATCACACATATGGGAAAAATAAAATGAGAAGAAAAAAAACATCATAATAGGATAAGATAGATACAATTTACATTGGTGAAATAACAAGTTTAAAAGAATTGTTATAAATTATAATAATCCATATTAAAAAAACACAAATGAAAAGTGTGAAACTTTTTAAAACTTGTTATGTGGCTTTAACTAACACTACTAAGGGCCAGATTAATGTGTACATTAATTACAAAACTGTAATTTTATTGTTTGTAAATGTTTGTTTTTTTAAAAAAAACCTAGAGTTCTTACACTGTTTTGCAATAACAGCCTTTCCTTCTAAAAACATTCCATTCACAAATGTTGTGAATGATGCTATTTATGGGTCTGTGTCCTTACCAGGATTGTTATGAGCAGTACCAGTAGGAATCTGCATTAAAATGTATTCTCTCAGAAAACCTTACATTGCACACCATGTCTCCAATGTAATGTTTCTGGTAGACGTGAAAGCAGAACTGTACGAAAAAGATATGCAAAGGACAGAAGTTTGTTTGGTAAGGAATCTACACTGCACTTCTCATTCCTGCATAGCTTAATCATCCCATCCTGCCTTCTTTCAGGAAATGTCCTACCAAGCACAACATCTTCATGAGAACAAGGACATGTGCTGTCTGTTGAGATGGTAACATTCACAGAAAACATTTTCATCAATCTGCTTGAGTCTTTGAAATAGAACGAGTAGGCTGATTCATATTTTGTCAATAACTGTCATTTTAGAAATGTAGCAAAGACAGGAGGAGTAGATTTGTGTTTGGAGCACTTTGCAGGTCAACAATGAACATTTATTTCCACTTGATTAGAGGACTTCTGCTAAACACTTAACTGAAAAGGGAACAGGGATTTTCTTTTTCTTTACTTTTGTATTGCAAACAATAATTGAACTTACTGTACAGACAAACAAGAAACGAAATCTCCCTCTCAACTGTCAGCCTAATAGTTACTTTTTCACATGGTTTCTCAAAGAGCCACACAGCATCAAATGGCAGCTTCTGACACTGGTTTTTGAATGTTTTATAGTATAAATATAATTTTTATGAATTTGTTCAATCATAATCTTCTTTCTTCTCATTTTAGAACTGCCTCATTTAAAACTCCTACTGAAATAAATATTATTGGAAGTGGAAGAATAGTGGGGAAAAAAATTATTGAACATACAGTATACAGTATACAGTATACAGTATACAGTACAGTATATATCAGTATGTTATAGTTACTGGGAACTGTCTTCAGTACAAAATCAGTTGTCTGTAAGTTCTGAAGCAGCATATACTTCAACAACACAGCTCCTTGTGTACAACACAGACTCAAACAAACCACATTTACTTCGACAGACTCCATCCATGGAATGCAAAAACAGGAGAGCGAACATGACCTCTTTGCCTTTTTTACAGTTGCAGAGCAGTCTGTCAGAATAGGTAAATGTCAAAGACAGTCAAATAAGATGACACCTTGTGACAATAAAAAGAGTAATTTTTATTACAAATGGATATTAATGTATTTAGATTCACATTTCAGCTTGAAAGACAACACAAAGTTTGTGTTCTTTGCTACACAAGTATTAATTTAGTCAGTAGTAAGCTATTAAGAAAGCAAACATTGAACAGAAACAAACTTTTAGGTCCTTAACAATGAAACAGTTATCTTGGGCTCTATATATTTAGCAAATTAGAGTAATGGCAACAATGAAAATGATCAATTTAATACTAACATTTAAAATACGGTAACTACCAACAGAGGTAACTACCAACACCAACACATTAAAAATTGTAAGTTTTTGTCAGAACATACATACAGCATGTAAAAAAAGAACACACAAATCATTCCTTGGTTTAAGACTGCATGCATGTACTGTTCCTGAATCCAAAGGCTGTATTCTCTGCTGTCAATTAATTCTGGCAAAAAATAATATTACAACTAAGGTTCAGGAAGGATGACAAGCAGCCAACTTCACATTCACCTCAGCTGCCTAAACTCATAATAGTCCCTGACATAATTTCATGAATTAAAAAAAAAAAACTATAAATACCATACATGAGATTTTTCTTCTTCACATTTGGCTTTTGCATCCATCCTGTTTGTACACCAGCTACACCTTAGTTAACTTCTCACTCTGCACTCATCCAATGGCCAAATCTTACTATGACTAAACACTCAAAAGATATGTCAATACATTTAATTATTGGTTGTTGTTATTCCTCGTGGCCAGTAAAGATGAGAGCCATTTCCTTTCCTTTGTAAAGCTCTGGTCTCTAAAGACAACCTCACACTGACAGTAAAAGACAGTAGTGTTTCTACCTCCTTGACTGTAACACCATGTTCACTCTGGTCAACCACCCCCTTGTTAACGGAAAAAGAACATTTAAAAAAGGCTTTAATAAAAGAATAAGGATCACAAAAAATTCACTGACTGAACAGCATAGTCCTAGTGTCTGACCTGGGACTGTAAACAGAACAGCCAGAATGCTAACTTGGAGATAAGGGAACACTTCAAGCACAAATCAGCACTCCAGTGCATTGAATGTTTTTTTCATGTCAGTGCTATAAATACCGAGGGAGTTAATTCTGTTCCATCTGTTAACAGAACATGAAAAAAATCAAGATAATTATTTCATAAAGTTTGTTAAGACTGTCTTTGATGAGCAGATATCTTACTATATACAGAAAACTCTTACATATTTGACATCTTCATCATGAAAGAGTGGAAGAAAAATCATGAAATGTTTGTTATCCATCCTTGATTCACTTACTCTTTATCATTACATTTTTAACACTTTTATCTAGGGTGACTTAAATTTAATTAAATAATCCATTTGTATAAATGAAGGATCACAATTTCCCAGGTAAGAATAACTAATGTAAGTCACATAGTCAGACAAATATGAAAAGTGTACTAAAGCTGGGGACACATAACATTTTCCGTATTCAACCTACGGTATAGTCTACCAATTCTTCTGCAGGTCTGCGTCAAGCCTTTTTATCAGTGTCGGTGCCATTCAAGATGCATTATGTGTCAATCCCACA